TTTAGGTATTAAAATAGAAAAAATTCATAAAATTTTGACTTTCAAACAGTCCTGTTGGTTACAAAAATATATATCTTTGAACACTGAGTTACGAAAACAAAGCAAAAATGAATTTGACAAAAATTTTTATAAACTCATGGTTAATTCTGTCTTTGGTAAAACTATGGAGAACGTGAGAAAGTACAAAGATATAAAACTAGTTTCAAAATGGGGTGGTAGATACGGGGCAAAATACTATATTTCTCAACCAAATTTTCACAGTTGCAGTATTTTCGATGATGATATGGTCATCATTGAAATGAAAAGATTGAGAGTGAAATTCAATAAACCTATCTATGTAGGATTCAGTATTTTAGATATTTCCAAAACTTTCTTATATGATTTTCACTACTCTTACATAAAACACAAATTTGGATCAGATGCAAAACTACTCTATACCGATACCGACTCTCTACTTTATCAAATTTTCACTGAAGATATTTATGAACATATAAAAGCGGATATAGATAGGTATGACACGTCTGATTATCCACCAGACAACATTTATGGTATTCCTCTGAAGAACAAAAAGGGGAAACGCGAGAACGCTGGGGAAATAATGACTGAATTTATTGGATTACGCTCGAAATTATACACATTCAAAATTTTACGAAATCAAAACAAACTTGTTGACTCTGGTGTAATCAAAAAAGCGAAAGGAATTCGAAAGTCAGCCTTGCGAACAATCACTTTCGATGACCATCGCAATTGTCTGTTGAATAATACCTCAACCCAAATATGTCAATATATGATAGGATCTAATAAGCATGAAGTACACACAATAGAACAGAAAAAAACAGCATTGAATCCGTATGATGATAAGAGAGTGATCAACTGTCTTCATACGGATACATTACCTTGGGGGTATATTTAGTTCATATAAAATATATGTACTCTACTTCCGTTTCAAATTATAGGATAAATAGATAAGAAACAAAGATAAGTCAAAGAAATCTGATACAAGAGAACTACATCAATAGCTCTGACGATAGAGAGGGGACACCCGATATCAATGGTCCTTCGAGATACAAGTGCACGAGATGTAACAACCAATTCAGAAGCTACACGACCTACAGCCAGTGCTACACGTGTCACAGAGCTCAGGACATTGACGGATATCGGGTTCGACAGCGTGAACAGATCAGAATAAAAAATAGACTGGGACATTAAGCTGTCAAACAATGAATCAAATGTTACTACTGCAACTTCTACTTCTCACTGAAATATCAACTGGAAAGTTGTACTCTGAATATCAACCGCAAAATGGGAGTTTATATATACACCATGAGATGCCCAATATGTCATCTCTACAGATAACCTACAACAATCTCTTGACAAAATATCCTGGAATTAAATTGTATTCTGAGCATATGGATACTAGTAGATTAAATGGTCTCAACAATAGAACAATAGCAATGTCTGGAACTGCTGTAAAAAATAATTGTGATCAATGTGAAAATGGATGGAATAGAACAAAGGAAGAATTATTCAAGTGCAACTCTGAGATTCATAATTGTACGCAAGAATTGAAGGTTCACATAAATTATGGTAACACTGAATTACTCAAAATCAGATCAGATTTGGCAGCATGTATGACAGTGAGTTCAGGATTCAAAATAGAGGCAGATTTATGGGCTTCAAAGTATGCAGATTTGAAATTTTCTAAAGAATATCATCCAACTACAAACCACAACAACAACAACAACAACAACACATTGAAAAATTCGGCATATCTCATTCTAGAATGGAATTATTCTAGTTGTCTTCAAGAACTAAACAGGTATATGAGAAAACTGTAACGGTCCACTAGTGGATCGTTCATAACTCCTGTCCATCATAGGTAATACACTCATGTTATGCTGCGGGATGCATTGTTTTCAGAGACTTGATCGCTGAAAATCCTACTTAGAAACTACTTTGGGATACTAACCATGTCAGTTTCAACACCCAGTAATAATCAAAATGAATCGTACTTACATTGAACCCTCGTCAAACTGTTTTCTCATTGTAATTAAATCAGGCTACCTACCCTGTTCTCTGTAAAAGATTTCATCTGATGTGCTTTCGATTTCATATATAATTTCTTCAAGGGGTTATGTTTATTTTGCAAATAAATATTAGCGAACAGCTGTTTAGACTATCACGTCCTATTCTTCCCGTTTTATATTCGTTTGGCACATCTGTGACCTAGTCGTAAGAAGCGTAAAACCTAATAATATAATTATTGCCAGTAAGGGACTTAGCAAGCAAGGTCTTCAAGGCAAAGCACTACTCACACCACACTCGGCACCTTTCACGGTTTCCGAAGTGTCCTGTGAGCGAGCAGCCTGATGTAAATAGGGTTTTTGGAAACGTCAGAGTACCTCCGGGAAGAACGACGATTCTCTCTCTCTCTCTAGGGGCCATTTTTCTGAAATGCCACGAAAAGTTCGTGCTGTTGAACTTAAACAGAAAATAATGAAAATTTTGGTGATGAAGGCCGATTAACACCTTTAGGCAAGTATAATAAAACTTTTGCAATAAAGTGCACTGAAAATTATAAATCGAACCATAATAAAATACATCGAAAAACACATGCATCATGATGACTTCTTTTCAGGCCTTCATGGTATAGGTATACCGCCATTTTGGTATAATAGTCGTGTCGTGGTAATACACGACGCCATAATAATGGCGAACAAGGTTTAAAACCTTGTGATTTCAACCATAATTGCTACTGGTGCAATATTATGTTTATCCGTTGTTCCTGTTTCTAAAAGTTATTTTTCTGGACCCATGCTGATATGCCACTGAGAACAGTTCCTCCGAATTTGGTATATTCGTGATGGATGATGAGATCCGTTTGGTAAAAGCTACGTTACACTTATAGGGATGACCTACTGTAAGTAGATTTTTCACTTAATTTTGCCAACCTGATGAGAAGATGGACTGCACCAGTTGATTGGGATTTAATACTATTACTTATTATTGTCTGCCTTTATATACCCTCTCCTTTGTGAGAAAGGGAGTATCAGCGCTGATAGTCCGTTTCATAGGACTTGGTTATATTTTCCAGAATTTATATCACACCTGTGGACCATTTATACAGTTCTTAATGTTTCCTTTTGAAGCCACAGTGAGGCTAAGTTTAAGATTTAAGTACTGCTTATCTTAGTATATATTTGTACTAACGAATTCTGACTAATACAGTTTTGTATACTATTGGATCATAAAAGATAACAAAACTGTTGCAACTATTCATAAGATTAAATACTAACAGATTATTTCAGTAATTCTTAAGCTAAAGTTAATTCTTAAATACTCCAGGAATTGGGTCCAATTTAAATTTGAATATTACATATGATATATTATTGTAACTTTGAGGTAATTCGGTCATTATAGCATGGATTTAGAAAAACTCCAGTACTGTTGATATTTTTGTTTTGTCTCACCCTATTCCTTCCCAGATAATACTGGGTGGCGCCCACATTTACCTATTTTTATGAAATTAAATCCACGACCATCTCTACCACTGAAGAGCAACCGTGTAGTGAGGCCATAATTTCATCTCTTGTTGAAATTACGTCACAAAACATTATTTTCAATTAAACAAAATTTATGACAGATATTATTCCATTTTTTTAATTTTTTTTTCTCCTTCTCCTAGATTGAAGAAACTCAAACAAGAACTCAACAACTGAGAGAGCCAGGCTAATCCATCAAGAGAATCTACACCCGATATGAAATATTGAAATGAAATAACTGTGTTCAGTAGTGAATAAAAGATATATGTAACCATCTGTTCAAGTTTTTTATTTTATCGAGGTTATTCAACAAATGTATCAATTTATAGTATAATGAAATCTAGCTACTTGTTTCTTCACTCTTCGTTTATCACCCAAAGTGTTATACGATTACAATTATCACAGTATTCCATTCTCCTCTTCTTAATATCCTGCTACCAATTGAGTGAATGATCAAAGAAGATGCATTTTGTTAGCCAACAACACATGCACGTATAGGAAAAATTCATCATTCACTCTCTTCAAGAGTCGTTGGTGATTTATTATTGAAAATTTCAACCCTTTCAATCCTGCTTATAACTTCAAAACTTTTTATATGTTTTCTTTTCTTGGTCAATAGTTGTTTGGGGATAGAAGTTAGGTCAATTCTTCTGCAAGTTGATGATACAGCAAATGTTTTAAATCTATTTTTATCAATGAAGACTTGTGTCCACGTCATGCCGGTTCAATGATAACTGAAGCAATCAAACTGAAGCAATCAATTTCAATAGCGAGAAACTCGATGAATTATCTTAAACACTCATCTCTGTTATATCAACAACATAATCAGTATGATTCTCATGGTTGCAGACTGACAATCTAGAATTTCCAATATCAGGTTGTGGGGTGAACTTTCCAAGAAATGGAACATACATAACCGAGGGGGGATCAGGTAAACAGGTGAAACAGGTAAAATGAAAGAAACAGGTGATACAGGTGAAAGAGGTAATACAGGGGGACACGTTGAGAAGGTGAAACAAGTAAATTAGGCAAAACAGGTGATTTGAGCGAAAAACAATTAATTAAGTAGGTGACACAGGGAAGACAGGTAGGAAAAAACAGGTGACAAGGTAAATCTTCGGTGACAACACCTCCTGGTCATTGTCGACACTTCTGCACCTCGGAATGTCTGCACAAACCACAACTAGACCCCCCTATTGGCTGTGACAGCTTGAGAACTTGATGGACAGCTTACCAAACTGTCGCAGGACCGCCCCTGATACACTACTAATAAATGTTCTAGATATTTGAGAAAAAGCCGAGAAAATGTACTTGCCTTATATAAAGAGTTTATTCTCAATATCCCAAAAACAAAATTCACTAAACAACCAAAAAAAATACCTACTTGATTCTGCATCTGAACATACATCTCAAGAGACATGAAAAAAAAGGTGAGAGTTATCGATACTCACTTTACAGGAAACTATTTGCAATGCTTTCAAAGAAAATCCTCGATTTCTAAGGATTTGAAAAATTCAATGAATTGCCTGAACGACACTATTGAGGACAGATGTTTATACTATGGATATGGTCGTTTGAATTTCACCGTTGATTGGATTGAATGTGAAAAATGTAAAGGCTGGATTCATGTTAGTTGCGACACTTCCTCAATCGATATCCAAGATGATGTGTTTACTTGCAAATTTTGTTCAGTTTCCCCTAACAAAAATTTGAAAACAATCAGTTTGAGAAGTAGGTATTCTGAATTTCTGGAATATCTAGAGAAGAAAAGTGATGATAAAATTGCTATTGAAGCATCCACTAGGAATCAAAGAGATTCTCCTAAATGGTTTGAGGAGAGGCGAATGAGAGTAACGGCTTCTAATTTTGGTTCCATATGTAAAGCCAGATCTGTAGAGAGTAAATTGAATATAGTACAGGATTTATTATCGCAGGATGTATTCAGTAATGCCGGTACGAGGCATGGTGTAGACAATGAACCGAATGCGATACAAGAATATCTTAAAATACATAACAAATTTACTTATCAGCGATGCGATTTGCTTATTCACAATGAATATTATTTTCTTGGAGCATCTCCAGATGGATTGTTGGATCTAGATGGAGTCCTAGAAGTGAAATGTCCACATAGCATTAGGAATGAAAACCCTAATAATGCGAAATTGCCATATTTAGATATTGACGGCAAGTTGAAAATCAGTAGTGATCATCAGTATTTTCAAATCCAGGGTATACTGGAAATCACCAATAGACCTTGGTGTGATTTTGTTATGTACACTTTTGAAGGTATCAATGTAGAAAGAGTGCATAGAAATATGCGTTTTTTCAAACCGATGATCAAAAGATTGCAGGAATTTTATTATTTCTTTTACCTGCCAAATTTACTTGGTGTGGCAGAATATATGAGATGGAGACCTATCAATGAAATTACTTTGTTAGACAATGGCCTAGTAAGTGATATAGAATATTACAAAAAAAATCCAAAAGAACGAGAATATTCAGTAGCAAAATTTAATGATCTGGATTTATGCGTCAGTGAATTGATGGCTTCTGATTTCCTAACTCTAGATGGTAAGAATTGGGTGACTAACTTTGTTATCGATGTTTTACTGAATTTGAAGAATTCATGTGGCATTTATCAAATCATTCCTGAAGAAATTGCTTGCAATATCTTCCAAGAATCCACTTCTCATAACGAAAATTTTCTTCAAAAAACAAAAATTTCAAAAAATTAAGTTGCTATGCCAGTATTACTGAATGGAAATCACCACATTCTGATTATAGTAGATTTTTTGAATGATACTTTCACTACTTTAGATCCAATGGTCAGTACTCTCAGACAAACCAAAAAATATTTATTCAAATATAATGTATTCATGAAACAATACAGCAAATTCTCAGAAAGTATTCCAATATGAACATTGCCTCCAAAGAGATGGCCACAATTGTGGTATATTGATAATCAAATTCTTCGAGAACATCATAATTAATCAGACACTTTCGAACTATTGCGATTTGGTTGAATACAGAAAATATTCAATACAATTTTTATTGAATATGTCTGACGACATGCACCTCATGTGTTTGATTTGTTCTAGACCTGTAGACAAAGAGAGAATGATTCCGACCAATGCAATTATTGCCATCGGTTCATTCATAGTGTATGTCTGTTAGGACGGGGGTTGTATAATGATGAAGAGTTCATCAAAGATGGAATTTGTCACCTATGCAATCAATATTGAGATCTCAGTGTATATAGGTACAGGCAGTATCTCAGTAGATATATGCAAATTTCGATGTCTGTATAAGGTGAGAAATCTAAAAAAGAATGTGTTTAGCCTGGTGGTGTGGGTGTCTGAAAGTATCACAGTTTTTCTGGTTGTTCTTGAGCTTCCCAGTAAACCAGAGTTTATCCCTGGGAAGTCGCGAATAATTAACAACAGGAATACAACTTCCAATGCGATGTTCAAAAAACTGTTCCCAGTAATTCCTGGCGACTATCGAATGTCCGCGACACTGAAGATCCCACGTAAATCCATGAAACGTTGCAACAAACCATTTTTTCGAAGTTCAACGGAATTTTAAAAAATATCCACTTTGCGAGTTCCTGTATCTTACTGAAACTAACATTATTTTGCATTACACTTCCATGTTCAACGGAATTTCTTCGTATGACATTTTTGCGAGTTCACTCAAGGAATGCTGTGGGAAGTTACAGTGATAACATATATCATTTCAAATTTATGTCTGCATTATAAAATTCCATAGAAATTCCAAATTGATATACTTTTCACTCTTGTGGTTCTTTTTGAGTACCAGCTTTGATCATTGATGCACTTTTAATTGTTGTAAGACATATATTTCTCATACATATACATACATACATACATATATTCTTGCTCTGGAAATATTTTATTATTCGAAGGTCTGTCTATACAACGATATCTGACAAATTTATGACTTGTATGGTGATTTATAGCCTCAGTTCTTCGATCAGGACTTTCTGGCCATCCCTGAAAATGTCAAACATATTATAATCCCAGATGCTATTCAGTATAACCTTCAAAGAAATTGAAAAAATGTAACAGGAAACATTTATTCAGAAAGTCATTTTCGCAACTTCAAATAACTCACCTGATGAGATTTTATTACACTGGACACTTGTATGAAAGTTCATCTGAGTAAAGGTTTCATTATAAATATCCCCATTTCACCAAGTAGGTGAGTATAGATCCAGACTAATCACTTCTCTACAGATACATCATGTTCAGAACAGCATCTGGAACAAAAATGTTTTCCATGTATCAGTTTATCTATGGCAATTATATAAAGTATGTCATGTACCTAATGCTGCACCAGCATGTATATCCCACGATCAGAAAAACATGATGGGAATTTCTAATACATTGATTACAATTTTTTACATCATACCCCAATTTTTTTACAATCATGGATTCACGGGAAATTGGTGGTGGTGCAGCTTTAGACTGAAGGTGCACCACGCCAACCGAATTTTGAAAATTTCTTGGATTTTGGTCGTCCTGTACCCATCATAATTTCTAACAAATTAATTACAAGTGTTTAAACATACAAACAACCCCAAAACCAATTCCCAACTCATTGAAATGATGGTATAAGTATCCAGACAGATATAATTCGATAATTACCACTCCAGTGAGAAGGAGAAAAAAGTATAATAGGTATGAGTACCTCATACTCCTGATAGTAATTTGATATATCTCATAGTTTTCTTCCAACCATTGGACTTTAAGCCCATTATACTTTTCTTGAATTACCTTTTTTTAATATACTTACGCGTATGAAAAATACCGGGTTATACCGGGGATAATATAAATGGATTTCAGTCTCCTTCATGAAAAAAGTATTTTCTCCTGTTTTCATCCACGTTGGAATTTATTCCACTGCCCCACACAAACAGAAATGTATTCTGATGTAGAGAGAAACAAATTCTAAGAGATTTTGTTTGAACAATAATTTCTTACACCATCCCATATGAATGAATTCCAGTCTTCTTCATGAAAAAAGTATATTCTCGTGTTTTCATCCACGTTGGAATTTATTACACTGCCCCACACAAACATGAGTATATTCAGATGGAGTGAAAACCATATGATAAGAGATCTCGTTCGAAAAATAATTTCTTACACCACCCCACAAGAATGGATATGAGTCTACTACATGAAAAATATATATTCTCGTGGTTTCACCAACGTTGGAATTTATTACACTGCCCCACACAAACAGAAATATATTCTGATGTAGAGAGAAACATATAATAAGAGATTTTGTTTGAACAATAATTTCTTACACCACCCCACATGAATGAATTCCAGTCTTCTTCATGAAAAAAGTATGCACTCATTTTTTCGGTCACGTTAGAATTCATTACACTGCCCCACACAAACATAAGTATATTCAGATGGAGTGAAAACCATATGATAAGAGATCTCGTTCGAAAAATAATTTCTTACACCACCCCACATGAATGGATATGAGTCTACTACATGAAAAATATATATTCTCGTGGTTTCACCCACGTTGGAATTTATTACACTGCCCCACACAAACAGAAATATATTCTGATGTAGATAAAACATATCAGGTATTAGAGATTTCATTCGAATAATAATTTATTACAACACCCCACATGAACGAATTTTAGTCTACTTCATGAAAAGGGTATATTCTCGTGTTATCAGTTACGTTAGAATTTATTACACTGTCCCACACAAACATAAGTATATTCAGATGAAGTAAAAACCATATTATAAGAGATCTCGTTCGAAAAATAATTTCTTACACCACCCAACATGAATGGATTTTAGTCTCCTTCGTGAAAAAAGTATATTCTCGTGTTTTCATCCACGTTGGAATTTATTACACTGCCCCACAGAAACAGAAATATATTCTGATGTAGAGAGAAACATATTCTAAGAGATTTTGTTCGTACAATAATTTCTTACACCACCCCACATGAATGAATTCCAGTCTTCTTCATGAAAAAAGTATATTCTCGTGTTTTCACCCACGTTGGAATTTATTACACTGCCCCACACAAACAGAAATATATTCTGATGTAGATAAAACATATCATGTGGGGTGGTGTAAGAAATTATTGTTCAAACAAAATCTCTTAGAATATGTTCCTCTCTACATCAGAATATATTTCTGTTTGTGTGGGGCAGTGTAATAAATTCCAACGTGGGTGAAAACACGAGAATATACTTTTTTCATAAAGTAGACTAAAATCCATTCATGTGGAGTGGTGTAAGAAATTATTTTTCGAACGAGATCTCTTATAATATGGTTTTTATTTCATCTGAATATTCTTATGTGTGTGGGACAGTGTAATAAATACTTACGTGACTGAAAACACGAGAATATACTTTTTTCATGAAGAAGACTGAAATTCATTCATGTGGGGTGGTGTAAGAAATTATTGTTCGAACAAAATCTCTTAGAATATGTTCCTCTCTACATCAGAATATATTTCTGTTTGTGTGGGGCAGTGTAATAAATTCCAACGTGGGTGAAAACACGAGAATATACTTTTTTCATAAAGTAGACTAAAATCCATTCATGTGGAGTGGTGTAAGAAATTATTTTTCGAACGAGATCTCTTATAATATGGTTTTTATTTCATCTGAATATTCTTATGTGTGTGGGACAGTGTAATAAATACTTACGTGACTGAAAACACGAGAATATACTTTTTTCATGAAGAAGACTGAAATTCATTCATGTGGGGTGGTGTAAGAAATTATTGTTCAAACAAAATCTCTTAGAATATGTTTCTCTCTACATCAGAATATATTTCTGTTTGTGTGGGGCAGTGTAATAAATTCCAACGTGGATGAAAACACGAGAATATACATTTTTCATGAAGGAGACTAAAATCCATTCATGTGGAGTGGTGTAAGAAATTATTTTTCGAACGAGATCACTTATAATATGGTTTTTATTTCATCTGAATATACTTATGTTTGTGTGGGACAGTGTAATAAATTCTAACGTAACTGAAAACACGAGAATATACTCTTTTCATGAAGTAGAGTAAAATTCGTTCATGTGGGGTGGTGTAATAAATTATTGTTCGATTGAAATCTCTTATACCTGATATGTTTTATCTACATCAGAATATATTTCTGTTTGTGTGGGGCAGTGTAATAAATTCCAACGTTGGTGAAACCACGGGAATATATATTTTTCATGTAGTAGACTCATATCCATTCATGTGGGGTGGTGTAAGAAATTATTTTTCGAACGAGAACTCTTATCATATGGTTTTCACTCCATCTGAATATACTCATGTTTGTGTGGGGCAGTGTAATAAATTCCAACGTGGATGAAAACACGATAATATACTTTTTTCATGAAGAAGACTGGAATTCATTCATATGGGATGGTGTAAGAAATTATTGTTCAAACAAAATCTCTTAGAATTTGTTTCTCTCTACATCAGAATACATTTCTGTTTGTGTGGGGCAGTGTAATTAATTCCAACGTGGATGAAAACAGGATAAAATACTTTTTTCATGAAGGAGACTGAAATCCATTCATATGATCCCCGGTATAACCCGGTATTTTTCATACGCGTAAGTATATTAAAAAAAGGTAATTCAAGAAAAGTATAATGGGCTTAAAGTCCAATGGTTTAAATGGTTGGAAGAAAACTATGAGATATATCAAATTACTATCAGGAGTATGAGGTACTCATACCTATTATACTTTTTTCTCCTTCTCACTGGAGTGGTAATTATCGAATTATATCTGTCTGGATACTTATACCATCATTTCAATGAGTTGGGGATTGGTTTTGGGGTTGTTTGTATGTTTAAACACTTGTAATTAATTTGTTAGAAATTATGATGGGTACAGGACGACCAAAATCCAAGAAATTTTCAAAATTCGGTTGGCGTGGTGCACCTTTAGTCTAAAGCTGCACCACTACCAATTTCCCGTGAATCCATGATTGTAAAAAAATTTAGGTATGATGTAAAAAATTGTAATTAATGTGTTAGAAATTCCCATCATGTTTTTCTGGTCGTGGGATATACATGCTGGTGCAGCATTAGGTACATAAGTATGTCTACTTGAGTTGGCTACATATAAAGAGAAACTCTTTTATTATAATATGGAGTTATATTTCATAAAACATGCTGGATGGGCTGACACCAAAAATGTGATCATAAGATATGTTTTTTTTTTCAGTTTTATACGAGGTATGTCAAAAAAACATCTATTCTATTCAAGAGGAAATAAGAACCTTTTTTTTCTGCATGTCAAGAAGACTGAAAAAAAAATTTTAATTCTTGGTTTTAGGCCTTGCAGAACTTTTTATGAAGAAATACTTTTTCCCTTAAAATTGATCAGATCAAAAAGTTTTCCATGTGAATTGATCAGAAATTAAAAAAAAAATAGTAAAACCTGCTTTTCATCATAGGTAGATGTGATTAGATATTTGAACCTAGTTTCCAATTGCAGTAAACTTTTCTCAACTTTTCTCCATAATACTTTTCAATATTGTCAAAAATAAAGGTACTTTATTCTTGAACAAAATTGATAGTTTTAGACATACCTAGTATACAACTGGAAAAATCAGATATCTGATATTTGCATTGTCAGTTTTGGGCCATGCAGAACTTTTTATGAGGAATAATAACTTTCTTTTGGAAAATTGATAATAAAAAAGTGCCCCATATGTAGCCAACTTAAGTAGACACTCTGTATATATTATAGTTTAGAAATACCCCTCAGGGATGACTTTATTGAATTTACCTTCAAAATAATTGTTGGCCAATCTCTGAATTATTCCATAAATAGGTAGGTATGTTCTCATCATGCATTGCTGGAGTATCACCATATTGTTTCACTGAAAAAATAATATGTACTTATCTACTTATGTAGATGTTATAGGTAGTAGGTATGTGTATAATAGCTTGGTATAAAAATGAACCTACCTATTGACCTGATTAGATTTATTGTGCCTCATCTTCTCTTTCACTATCTCTAGGTCTTCTTGTTTATAGCAGCCCCTCAAGCTTCAATTCTATTAGGAATTGGAGGATTTTGAGAGGATCTGTTCGTGTATGGTATTTCTTCCAGGGTCTGCTGGTATATAGTCCCAGTATGTTTAATTTTGTGTGATGTTCGTACCTACAGCATAATAATAGGTAGGTACCATATCCTCATTATATTGTACATAAATAACTCACCACCAGAAATCATTCATTATTTGAGTATACCTAGCTATATTAGAGGCTTAGAATGTCTTGCCCTCAATTTCCTGAAATGAGAGCTGATATCGGTTATATTGTTGATGCACCTGAGATGCTTACAATTCAACGCAATGAAGTATACCTATCTGGCAAATGATTTTCTATATAACAATAAAGAAAGCTTCACTATTGTTGCAATTGAGATGCTTATACTCACCTACGATAACAGAACCTCACATAGATTGCTTCATTATCAATCATTATTGCTTGAAATTTCATACCTACTTAAACTTCTTGAACTACAAACAGGACGCTAATGTTGTTGTCGTATCGCCGCCATCTTATTCTTGACTCTTTCATTTAGCCTCTCTCCGCGGGTCCGTATGGTCCTTACCCTAGCCTCGGTACAGGGTACCTCGAGTTAGATTGACATGTTAATATTTGCGGGAAGTTCGACAAGTGCAAGTGTTGAAAACTCATTTCTTTTATTCGTCTGAGGTTGAAAATGACTTCATGTTGTAACATTTTCGAATTATTCTAGAAATACTTTAATTTTGCGATATTTTCAATAAATTGAAAGTAAACATTAGAAATTTGAAATAGAATGATCTCAATCAAATCTGTAAATATATCGAAACTGATGAACCCATGATACCCATGAAGTTTTAATGTATCATGGATGAACCTACAGAAAAAAAAATCCAGGATAAATAATCATAAAATATCCATAGAACAACGCGTTCAGAATATTCTCAATCGAATGGTCTGTGGATATAGGAAACTGAACCTGCGATGAATATTCGAAATGGAATAATATATAAATATCTATAGATATTCTGGATATATTCAGGACATCTATATAATATCTGGATATATATCTTCCAAATCGTACACTGACAAAACATTCCATGAATATCTGGTACTATCTCTGGGTATGGCATCAGATACCAATTGTTGGAAATCGAGAGGCAATTACAACAATAATTCTCATAGAACTCTCTCACGAATAACTAAAAACTGACCAATTGAGTAACAATTAGAATGTTGATAATTTTACCATCAGGGAAAGACCTATGGTTTTACTAACGTGTACTTCATTTGAATGTTTATAGAGAAACTTGGCATATACCTCCTAGGTAAGTAACAAACAGAATTCCCATTGAGACTTTACTGAGCATTCGAAATTACAACAAGAAATCCTATAACAGTCGTTGGTAAGTCCCAAAAAGAAGTAACAATAAGTATATAAATGGTTCGTCCTAGCAACTTCTGTGACTTCGCTGGTTTGCTGGGTTCTTCATATTTTGCATTGAAATGGTGAGTGAAAAACAATAGTTTACATGTTAATCCTTCAATATATTATTTGTGTGTTTCAGGCGAGGTCAGATTATATAAAAAATTGGACTTTATTGGAGGTACTGATCCATATACCTTGAAACTATCGGAGTTTGATGTGCCTTTGGATGATATTCCAAAGATTGCTAAAAATATTATCCTGGATCATTTCCTGTTCAGTGTGGGCCCCTCCACATATTTTGAAATGAGAGCTTGCAAAAGTTTGGATGCATTTGCACAGTTAGCTAGCAATAAAAGTGGATTGAATCTCTCTGTGCCAAGAAATTGAATAACAATTTTCTTATATTTGGGAAGGTAAGTTTAGATTCATGAAATTGATTTCAGCTCACTAAAAGTAAATCATTGTAGGTTCGCCATTCTCAAAGAGTTTCAGAAGCAGCGCTCAAACGTTGGGTAGTTGTTTCTGAAAATGAAGCAATCCTCACAGTACATTGTATTTGTGTGGCTAGGTTAGGAGAAGTATACACACATGTGGCTTCAGTACTTTTTGCCTCAGAGTTTGCTGGAGCTATATCTGATGAAAAGTCAGTTACAGATGTTTTAGCCTATTGGATTGGGCCCAGCAAAAAGGACAGTTTTATAGGAGCCTGGAAGATATCGATTTTTCCACATCAAAAAAACTGTTGATGGGTGACACTAGTAGAGATACAAATATATTGGGAAAAAAAGAAGTGCCATCTTTATCGAAGAGTGAAATAGATTCATTAACTCAGAAAATGATAGATTTGGATATGATGCCAGCATATGCCTTAGCAAATAAGGAATTCAATCCAGTTAAAACATTGGATGAGAAGTTTCCTATGTCATTATTGACCCTTTCTGAAGATCAGTATGTTGACCTTGATTTGAAAGAACTCCGCAGTATTTTAAAGAGAACACATTTGAATGTAACAGCTGATCAAGCTTTGGCGGTTTTTGAGGCAACCACAAAAAAAAGCGAAGAAAAGTTGTGGTTTGAATTTAGAGCTGGCAGAATCACTGTATCAAAATTCAAATCAGCTTGTCGCATAAAAATTGAGTGTTGGATATTGTATTTTGTATTATATTGAGTTAGGCATCATGTGGACGTAATATTAGCCACTGCCATTTGTATTTGTCTAATTCATGATTGTTGTTGAATTAGGATACCATGGTTCTGTGTTCTGTGTAATGCAGTGACAATGACAGTACTTAGGCGCGAAAAGGCTAGGAAGAGAGGTTATGATACGGGGCGTTGGCGTTGTTGGCTTTTTCGGTTCATCAGTAGATGATCAATGTATTTGGTGATTATTAAATAAAAGTCTTAATGAGTACAATGTTGTATCAATACACAACATTAATTGGCGACGAGAACGGTCGAGTCCATGTGTCTTCAAGAGTCAAGTAGTGAAAGTCAAGTCTCATAGTCCTCAGTAAGTGCACAAAGTCAAGTCTGCCGGTGCATGTGTTTCAAAGTCGAGCCCCAAAAGTCTATATAGTCATAAGAGTCGAAGTCAAGTCAAAGGCAGTCAAAAAGTCTATACAAAGGCTACCTATACAGGAAGAAACATAATGTCATTTATAGGTTCAATTGAACCTCACAGCAAAGATCAAGATATATGTGCATATCTTGAAAGATTGGAGCAATTATTTGCAGTCAATGAAGTCACTGAGGCTAAGAAAGTGTCGTTTCTACTAACTTTCATTGAAAGCGAAGTTTATAGTGTCTTGAAAGATTTAGTAGCACCCAGTCTACCTAGTACTAAGGGGTATGCAAGTCTAACAACAGAACTTACCAATCATTATAGCCCAAAGAGGTTAGTCATAGCAGAACGGTACCAGTTCTACACAGCTGTTCAAGGTAGTGAAGAGATAAGATCCTATGCATCAGCAAGACTCAAAAATCTGACCAATAAACACTGTGGGTTTGATAATTTCTTAGAAGATGCTCTTCGGGATAAGTTAGTGTGCGGATTGCATTCGGAAAGCATCATGTTGAGATAGGTTTTATTTTGAATATCATAGTGTCTTTGTTTTAGTTAGGTTGTCAACACTGAATGTCATGTCAACAAGTCATATGTCAGATGTCAATGTTTTTCTAATATAGTTAGTCGAATGTTGAGCGTCGTTAAGGTTACTTTGTTTTTCTACAAATCTTGTTGATTTAATAAATCCCATAAAAGGTTATCAAATCCTGTTTATTTAATAAATCCCATAAAAGGTTATGGGCCCAGTTAAACGTTGGTCGAAATAAGCAGGAGATCGTTCGTCGATAGAAGAAAGAAAAACTAACCTGAAGTCCAAGGTCCAAGGCGTGGTCAGCATTTTTTGGCGGTAAAAAGAAAAAGTTTGTCTTTTCTCTGTGAAACCGTAATAGTCTACAGTGTGTTTTAATAAAGTTTAAAACATGTCTGACAAAGGTGTAGACGTATCCAGCATCAACAAATTTGATGGGCAAAATTATCACCAGTGGAGATTCCAGATCAAGTGTGCCTTGAAAGCAAAAGGAGTTTACAACGTAGCAGATGGTTCGACACCGATGCCAACGTCCGCTGGTGAAGAGTTGAATAAATGGATAAGAAATGATTCCAGTGCTATGTTCATGCTTACAGCTGCTATGACATACACACAGATAACTTTGATCGAGAATTGCAATACAGCAAAGGACATTCTCGACAAACTTGATTCAATTTATCTGCTTAAATCTGAAACAAATAAAATGGTTCTTCATGAACGTTTTCATTCGTATAAGATGGATTTAAATGATTCTGTGGCACAGCATATTGCCAAGGTGGAAAATCTAGCGAAGCAGATAAAAGATGCAGGTGATACAGTTAGCAGTGCAGCGATAATGACTAAAATTCTGAATACGTTGCCAATGAAGTTTAGAAACGTTAGGCAGGCCTGGCTTTCGTTAGACGAATCCAAGCAAACGATTCAAAACTTAACAGCACGTCTCATGGATGAGGAGGCCAGTTTGACATCCATGGAAGAAGCAGAGGTAGCATTGGCAGCAGTTTCAGTGAAAGATGCAGTCAAGAAGAAATCATTCCCAGTAAAATGTTACAAGTGTCATAAAAGGGGGCACATAGCGAAAAATTGTCAGTCAAAAGCAAAGGAACAAGCATCCACTAGTTCAGCATCAGCTTTTAGTGTAGAACAGAACACTTTCTTTGAAAATTCCATCAGTTGGATCATGGACAGTGGAGCATCAGCTCATATGAGCTATTGTAGAGAATTTTTCACTAATTTTGAAGATGTTGATGATGCCAACGTGATTTTGGGTAATAATCAAACACTACCTGTGAAAGGAAAGGGAGTAATAAAAATCAGAAAATTACTCAACAACCAATGGTGTGATGCAACTATAAACAATGTTCTGTATGTGCCTGACCTGAAGAAAAAATTTGTTTTCTGAAGGAGTTGTGACCGATAAAGGAATGCGAATAACTAAGGACAATGTCAAGGCTGAAATTTTTGACAAGTCTGAGCTTACTGCAGTAGCAAAACGTGATCCAAGTACCAACCTCTATAAAATGATGTTTCGTACAGAAACCATCGAAGTGAATGTCACAACAAGTGAGTCTCTAAAAGTGTGGCATGAGAGGCTTGGACACATAAATGTAAAAACTATTCGTGAAATGGTGTCTAAAGACCTGATAAGTGGTGTAGACTTGAGCAATGTCAACACTTTTTTTTGTGAAGCTTGTGCTTATGGCAAGCAACATAAGCTACCGTTTAAGAAAGCTCCTCATGAAAAAAATGAAAATTGGTGAGCGCATTTTTAGTGACGTTTGTGGACCAATGAGCACTCCATCAGTGAAAGGTTCGCGATATTTTGTCACTTTCAAAGATGAATTCTCCGGATTTCGTGAGGTGAACTTTATTAAACACAAGTCTGATGTGTTCAGTTGCTTCAGAGACTTTGCAAATAAAGTTAAAAATCATCTAGGGTATGCTATAAAAGTATTACACACTGATAATGGCACCGAATACAATAATCAGGAGTTTAAGAACTATTTCTCCAAGGAAGGTATTCGATTTGAATTTACCGCGCCCTATACGCCTCAACAAAATGGCCGCGTAGAACGTGACAATCGGACAATTGTCGAGTGTGCCAGGACAATGATACATGGAGCCAGTGTTGCCATATTTCTATGGGCTGAGGCTGTAAAAACAGCCGTGTATATTTTAAATCGAACCCAAACCACACAAGCTCCTAACTCTACTCCATTTGAGTTATGGTATGGTGAAAAGCCCCATTTAAGCCATTTGCGAACATTTGGTGTTGAAGCATATTCCTTGATTCCTGAACAGAAAAGGTCCAAATTAGATCCAAAAAGCAAAAAATACATCTTTGTTGGATACGAGAAGGAATCAAGTAATTACAGGCTTTTTGATCCAATAACAAGGAATGTTATTGTTTCAAGAAATGTTTTATTTAATGAAACCATCAAAAATAATGTTCCAGTTGCTGAAGTTTTTCCTCAAACACTTGATATTGATGAAAATGATGAACAGAACGAGTCAACTCAAGAAGAAATCAATGAAGAAATTGAGAGAAATGAGGGTTTTCAAGATGAAGAAGAAATGGAAATGCCAAATCTACGTCCTCAGAGAAACACAAATATGCCAAAAAGGTATGAAGAATACATTTTGAATTTTGCAGAGGTAGACACTCCTCAATCATATGATGATGCTTTAAATTGTGATAGAGCTGAAGATTGGAATCATGCAATCAGAGAAGAATTAGATTCCCATCAGAAAAACGAAACGTGGCAACTCTGTAAATTACCAGCTGGTAAACAAGTTATAAAATCCAAATAGACCTATCCAGGATGCTGTCAAATGAGATTCAAGATGGCCGCTGGTAGGCACACAAATCGCGTAACTCCATGTAAACAGTGATATATAACAGTGAAAAGATCAGTTTAGTGGCAGTTTATTTCAATATATCAACGATTTGAGCTCAAAACGGACATAAATATTGTGTATATAAATATTATTTAATAGATAGAACTATAAATAACATGCCTACTACTTGCTGTGTAGTCAATTGTGGGAGTCGAGGAGATCGTGACAATGTTAGATTTTATAGAATTCCTGGTGAACTCAACTTTCCACACAAAACAGAGTTGAATGATCTCTCAAAAACAAGGAGAAGAAGGTGGATATCAGCTATCAAACGGGAAGATCTAACAGAAACTAAACTAAAGTATAGCAGAGTGTGTGAAAAACATTTTTTGAATGGTAAACAAATTTGCCCTTTTATTCATCAGTTCGTTATGGATGTGTTTCTCAATTTTAGGG